CGCGTCGATACTCATTCTCAGATGTTGAAATTTCAACTTTTTTCATAATCATACAACATCAGGTTGTCTAGGTCATTCTTTTTTTATATTCTCACAAACATTAACACACGTGCATTAATACAAGATCGTACACAAACATTGCAAACCATTTTTCGGAAAATATCGGATTTTCTGGCAGTTGCAAAATAATACAAAACAGTTTACTCAAACATGCTTATGAACTCATCAACATTATATATGTTGACCTTTTCAAATTAACTTGTATTCTCAGGAAATCGTTGAGCAGGTTGGTCAGCAAGAATACCTGGATATTTTGGTTATGTTCTGTTATCTACTTTTTCAATATTTTGGCATGTAATATTGAAATACAATACTTTATGTAAACAATGACAGTCGTAATATTACATGTGTGATGATGATGATGATGATGTTTTGTTTCAATTATATACACTGTGATGATACTACAAGAATGAAGTCACCCAAGCCCCCGGACGTTTCCGCCGTCTGGTTCGGGGGTGTGACAAGTTGCGCCAATTTCAGTGAGAGATCAGCGATAGAAAAAACAAAACGTGCATACCGAATTATAAAATGATTGTCTAAAGCCCACACTAAATGCCTTTATCTTCGGCCGGTTAGCTAGAGATGGGAGTGCATTGATAAACAATTATGAGATCCGTAACTGATCCCTCGGTAAATCCTCGTTAATATTCTATATGTTGGATTAATAAAATGATTGTCTAAAACATCGTAGATCCATCGCAAAACCCTCGCTAAGCCTAAAATTTTCTAGAGAATTTATCTGTCACTAAATCTGTCGCTGAAACTAAAGTTTCTAGTAGTGGTTAGGGCAAATGACATTGTAGCACATTAAAGTTTCGTCATTTGTCCGATTTGGTCACTAAAGTTATTTTGTTGTGCAATAAACCATTAAACTCATATTTGACCTATCAATTAAGCCATTTTTCCTGATTTTAAAAGGTTTACCGGTCATTTCAATTACATGTCATTTAATATTTACTTTTAAAGGGAAAAATATTCCATCTCATCTTTTCCATTTCTAATAAACTTATATATTTGGTCCTTCGATGACCCACCACCGTACACCTATTCTTTCACACCGACTCTCCTCATATCTTTCTTCTTCGTGAGTTGCTACGCCTCAAACCCTTCCCATCTCCATCGTCAGTAACTAAATCCACAGGAAGTTCACTCGTCTCATTAGCAATCAGTGCTGAAATTTTTTGAGGAATCAGAAAAGATAATCACGCAATTGAGTTTTGGGGGGGGGGGGATGTAAACTCCTCATCCGATTCAATCATGTATGGGATTCAAGAAGATGATATTGTTCTCTATTGTTGGTTGCCAACGCTTCTTCTCCATCTAACATCAATAATCCATTACAGTTAGGAGTCCAGATTTATGCACTCCCGGATCTTGTGGCCCAAAGAACTTCACTTTCAACCAAGGTTGTAGAACTCGTTACTCGGTACCTGCTCCGCCGACTGACTACCGAGTAGCGAGTACTCGGGGAGTACTCAGATTTGGAAATTCATGTAGAAATATTTTTAGGGAAATTATATATGTCAAAATCATAAGTTGTTTGAAATATATAACAAAATTAGATACATGTCAATACACAAAACTGAAAAACACATAATGGTCTCACTTCGTGAATAATTACTGAAAATTTAAGATATATATGTAGTAATAATCACATGAGTGTGTGTTGAATAATAAATCATTAAGTATATTATACATATTAATTATTGAGTTGACCGACTTTTACAATATTGTTCAGGTCAGTAAGGGTCGATCGGGGAGTAATCGGGATTCTGTAACTCGTCTCGGTAAGGGTAAACAAAAGAAGAAAATTTCAGGAGAGAAAGAAGAAAATTTCCTCCTCTGTTGCCACATGTATACTTCTCTGTTTCCTCCTCAAAAAGGGTAAACAAAAGAAGAAAATTTCAGGAGAGAAAGAAACCAACACACCGGTATCATGCCATTGTAGGTCTTCGTCACACCATGTCCAGGTCTCGCTCAAGTTTTCCAACTTTCAAAGCTCAAAGACACCAAAGGACCATCTTTAGGTGGCTTCTCACCGTTGAACTGACCACTTCGGTTAAAAATCGCGATGAAAGTTCTAAAAGCTCTTCCATTTCTCCACACTTAAATCAACCCTCTGCTCATCGTGATGTGAAAAGTTCAAATATTCTCATAGATTTCGATTGGGGTTGTGTAGCTAGGGTCATTCGAACAAGATGATTGAAAACATGAAGACTGCTTCAATGTGGGAGGCTTGGAACACAGAAATGATTAGGATTTAGTTAAATCTGAAAAAAAAGAATGAGACGAGTTGTGAGTAAATAGTTACTGTACCAGACTTGGATTTTGGAGGTTAGACAGTAAGAGATTGGTGGCGGTTCTTTGGTGGGGAGAATTTCCGATGAACACAGTCGGAAGAAAGAAGAAACAGGAACAGTTGTCTTGGGAAGAGAAAAAGATAACAAAGGGATAGGGGTAACATGTTCAGGCAGGAAGATAGAGATGGAGATGAGCTGGAAGCTTCCCATACGCATCACACACATCACAGTACCAAACAATAAAGTTAAATTAATTACTAATGCCACATCAGATTTTGTTACCAGATAACCTGTTAAATTTTCGTAAAATGACTTAATTGATAGGTCAAAAACGAGTTTAATGGTTTATTGCGCAAAAAAATAACTTTAGTGATCAAATCGGACAAATGACAAAACTTTAATGCGCAAAAATATCACTTCAAATCTAGAAAAAAATATGTATCCTAATTTATATAATCTAGAAAGTAGAAATTGGAGTCAAGATGATAATCATTATGAAAACCTTAGGAAAACCAAAATTAAGGAGTTAAGGAAGCTAGAGCTTAGAAAAACGAGTGACGATATGAGCTAGAAATAAAAGAGAAATAAGAGAGAGCTACATGAAAATGCAACTTACACACTACTAGAAAGCATAACTGGAAGCTGATGAAGACTAATTTAGATTTGCTCGAGTTTATGATCTGAAGCAGCAGTGGATGAACCAATTAACAGATCGAACGTCTGATATATAAATGCTGGTATATATAGAATGCATAGAAATTCTGAAAGATGGGTCGACCCGGCGGTTGAACTGTGACTAGGTCGCAATACTGGCAATACTGGGTTGTTGGGTTAATCGGTGTGTCCACGGCTCATCCGGGTCATGGGTCGAAGTTGTGGATGAGCTCATGGGTTTACAATAGTTTAGCATATTGTAACTCACTTGTTGATTCTTGTATTTTAGAAGTTTTATTAGAGTCTACCAGGTCAAAAGTCATGGGCTTATTCTTCCTAGCTTTTAGGAAGTTCACGTAGAAGTAAGATAGGTACCTTTTCTTTAGGATCAAGTTTGTTTGTTTCTTATTTAAATGTTAATTGTGTGATCAATGAAAAATGTTCAGGTAGTAAAACTCAAAATCTACATTACGTGTGTGTGATTGTGTGTGTTTTCAAGGGCCTGTGCCTACAATTGGTATCAGAGCGAAGGTTGAAGAGGGCCGGTTTGAGAGTCGACTTTCGAAGGGGAGGAGCCTTCGGGTGCGGGGCTACCATCACAGCGGAAGCCAGGTGGTTGGCAGTGACTTTTTGTTGCGGGGAGCAGAAAAGTAAAGGTCTTATCGCACAAGAAGATTCGAGAAAGCAGAGGTTGTGAAAGTGCTGTTGTTCGTCAATGGTTAATGACGGAGAAGGTGTTTCAGTTGGTGGGTTTCTTTGCCGGCTGTCTTTAGTTTTTGGTGGTGTCCGACAAGGTGGTGATTCCGGCGGTAGGTTGTGGAAATGTCACCGGAAAATGGAGAGAGTTACCGAAGTTGCGGGAGAAAAAGAAAAGAAAAGATCCGTCAAAGCAGGTGGCTTTGGGTTTGTTTCGTTTTGCAGGTGAAAGAAGACGGGAAAAGCGGGTTGCTTTGTTTTCTTCGGTGGAAGAAGGCTCTCGTTTCACAGAAGTGTTAGGTGAAAACGGATTCTGTGTGGTGACAAACAACAGCCGGGTATGGAGGATTTTAGACGTGACCGAGGTGAAGGTCGGGTGTCCGGGAAAAGTCGTAATTTGGTGAAGACTTTGGATGTGACCGAGATGGAGGTCCGGTGTCTGGGAAAAGTCGTGAATCGAGATGGTTCGAAAGGAAGGTGATTAAACGTTGCTGTGAGTGAAAGGTGTGAACAACCGATTAAGGGGGTGATTGTTGGGTTAATCGGTGTGTTCACGGATCATCCGGGTCATGGGTCGAAGTTGTGGATCAGTTCATGTGTTTACAATAATTTAGCATATTGTAACTCACTTGTTTATTCTTGTATTTTAGAAGTTTTATTAGAGTCTACCAGGTCAAAAGTCATGGGCTTATTCTTCCTAGCTTTTAGGAAGTTCACGTAGAAGTAAGATAGGTAGCTTTTCTTTAGGATCAAGTTTGTTTGTTTCTTATTTAAATGTTAATTGTGAGATTAATGAAAAATATTCAGGTAGTAAAACTCAAAATCTACATTACGTGTGTGTGATTGTGTGTGTTTTCAAGGGCCTGTGCCAACATGGGTCAACTGAAAAGGTGGTTTTTAAAACAATGCTTACTATACACACAAACCGATCCTATGAGTTGACTATATCTTCAATCACTCTAATAATATTAAGAAAATCAAAATATCAGTTGAGGTAAGAGTGATGTTTAATTCTGGCGGGTTATACAAATTTTCAACTTTTTATACTCTGAGATGGACTCTTAGAAAAAGCGTGTATTATACACCTCTATATTGGCTATATTCCAGAATGAGTTTCAAGATTAGAACTTTAAAAATACGTAAATAAACTTAATGTCAGTGCTGAAACTAAAATACATGAAAACCCTCTATTGTCCGAATCGCCTTCTTAAAACCATTTGGATCTTGTAGAACATGTTGTATCTTATTTAAGAATCTTCAAGATCAAAACACAATTTTTTATAAGAAAAAACCTACAAACTGCAACATTGTAATATGGATGTACTGAGGGATTAACCATTATAAAATTTCTTAGTTGTGCAGGAGCAAACACCGTTACTACATGATCCTATGCCAATTACACAAAAGGAATTGCAATCGCTATCCTTATTACAATGTATGGGAACCACACGTTCGCTCATGTTTTCACCATTGCTTTTAGACAGCGATTGAGGGGTGGCTACGTGTTCTCTCTCAGGGAAAGCGCATGACATCTGCAGACCTGCAAAGCATATCTGGTTAGTGTTGAACTTGCAACGTTTCAGAAATTAGAGAAGGGGGGAGAAAAAACTGTACAAGAGAGGGAAAGCAATAATGCGACAAAGAAAACTATCTTCAGTGAAGTTGGCTCCATGTTTTAACACAATATAATAGGAACAGAAGGAATAAGTTTCAGTATGTAACATGATCGTATGCACAAGATATATATAGAGGGAAATTTCGTAACAGTTAAATCAAAAAAGGTAATCAAATTAAAAACACTAATAAATAACTAAATACTGTTTTAAGGAACATTTATGCTGTGAAAGGTAACACATAATCTTCAATTTATTTTAGATCTTTTATTTATGTTGTGCATAAATCGAATAGGCAAAGGAAATTGCAATTTAAATAGAGAAGAAAAATAAACCAATTGTTGAACATGAAAGCTTTGTTTCTTTTGGCATACATTATCAGCAAAAATGCTTTTATACGATGAGATATATATACTGACCTAACTACTCCGTCAGCTATTACCGACGGAATACCCTCTGCATCGTGACAAAAAAAGAAACTGAACAGTATATCCTTTGGCATATTTCCAACGGAATAAAAAGAGAATAATTTTTTTTAATATCTATCGTTATTCCTTTGTAAATGTTTATTTATTGTTTTCTTTCCGTCTGTAATACATCAAAAAATAAATAACCCACCCTTAAAAAAACAGAAATGAAATGTCCTTATGATTTTTCTTTCTACTCATCTTCTTATCAATTTTAAATAGTGACAAGTGGATATATTTAATAAAATCTACCATAATAAATGAAAATGATTTTGCCAAATGTCATCTTCTCATTACATTGGACACATGTCATTTTCTAAGATTTTTTGATTTTTTTTTTTCTACTTGTCATTTTCTTATGTTTTTCATTTTCTTAAAATTTAAAATTCATTTTGTAGTAAGAGTTTATATTTGGTAGATAGATTAATTTTATTAATCTTGAAAATAAATGCTTTGGCTGTTTCTTTCCTTAGTAAATATTTATATATTGTATCTACTTAATACACATTTCAAGGGATTAACATTAACCATTTTTAAGTCATGTATATAGGCAAATGTCTTTTATTTCAATATAAATTTATATTTACATATATATATATATATATATATATATATATATATATATATCTTATATTTTTCTAAATATACTTAAGATAATACTAAGTAGTTTATCTATCTATAATATTTTTTTATATGTTATATGACAATTAAATAGTTTGTGTGTGTGTATATATATATATATATATATATATATATATATATATATATATATATATATATATATATATATATATATATATATATACATGTAAGACATATAGAAACAATGAATAAAATGTGAATTTACATTTTACAAACTCGAGTCATGTAAAATGTGTAGTGATTAACAATATTTTTATACCTACACATTTAAATTTATAATATCTCCATTTTAATAATTAAACTTTTTAAATTTGATAACATTTTAGCATCATAATTTTATTTTAGTCTTTATAATTGTTTTAAAGATAAAAACATAATGTGGATTCAAACGACCCTGAAGACAAACGCAAACATATATTCTCCACCATGTGAATATGTCAATAGTTTTTTATATTAGTATACATTCAACTACCTAATTATTATCGGTTCGTTTGTATTTATTTGGAAAGTTTACTTTAAAAAAAATGTTTAATGTTTACACCTAAATTTTCAACATCATTTTTTAAAGTATGTTAATATATTTATTAGTATATATTGAATACATAGTTGATTAATGATTATATCCTTTTTATTTACGTAAAAGTATTATTTTAAAAAATACATAACGTTTACAAATCTACCAAAATAAAAGAAAAATGCTTTTTGGCAAATGTCCTGTTCTCATTACATTTTACACATGTCATTTTCTATGTTTTTTGATTTCCTTTTTTCCACTTATCATTTTCTTACATTTTTTATTTTCTAAAAATTTTAAATTCACTTTTTAGTAAAATTTTATATATGATAAATACATCAATTTTATTAAATTATCATTTTTACTAAATCTTAATTTATTATTTGGGTGTTGATCACATCTTTGTTAATATAAAAAACTCGAAACCAAAATAAAAGAATCGAAAAATACCGAAACCGAACAAAAAAAAAAAACTTGTAAACCGAACCGAAAAAGGTACACGGAAAGACCGCGAGACCGGACCCAAAAAAGACCGGTCCAAATGAAGACCAATCTGAAAAAAGACTGAAAAAAACCGATGCGAACCGGTCCAGAAAATGACCGTACCGTTTCGAGACTGATCCAAGACTGGTCTGGGACCACCAATATGCAGCTCTAAGAAGCGTATCCCATAGGCCATATATGTTCTGGGCTTAAATTCTCCTTCAGTCTGGTGATTGGGCTCAACTGATGGGCTGCAAATGCACGATAGTTGAGAATTTTTTATAACTCATTGCTCGTTAGGTTAAGCCGTTAAGGGGTTAGGCTTCCTGTTCGTTTGGAAATTTAATTCTAACAGACTAACAGAGTAACAAAATAACCACAAAGATATTATTGATTTCTTCTTTTATGTGTTAACATTTTTAGTTATGAAATTTCTATTCTTTATTTTTGCTATATTTGGATTGATAATCAATTCTTTATTTTTGCCATTTATAATTTTGATAAAAGATCTTACCAGAAGATTTGGTATACCACGAATATCAAATTAATTACTCTTATATATATGAGGCATAAGAAATGACTGGGGCTGAGTAAAAGTAACTGCTTTGATTTTGTTTTAATATAGTTGAAAACATGGAGCAAACTTTGAAGCTTGTGTTCTTGTTCATGTTATTGGTTTCTGTCTCTGGTAAATTTTTTTTGTCTCAAGAACTAGCACTCGAATTACCATCATGTTCCCTGTTTATTTCTAATGGAATAAATATGCTTTTCAGGTTTGTTTATCTCATCTGCTGTTTTGGCTGACCAAATCTGGTGTGATGACAGTATGGTATGTAATATACGCTGTCGAATTGGCGTGCCTAATTGTTGTTATGGTTTATGCCAGTGTTCACCATGCACTGATTAATTTTAATATTATATTTAATATCATAAATGGTGTCAAAATGTGTTTGTTCCTCGAGAAATCTGTGAAATAAAATTCAACCTGATAAAGTTTTTATTATTATACAACATCTGTAGATCAATGGTTTTGTTTTCCTTTACATATTAAACACATAAAAATCTTAAAACTTGCATCAAATCAATATTTTAAAACCAACAAATATAAAAGTAAAAACCAAAAGACCATTTTTGTCTTGAAAACAATCAATCATAATATTATTGTTGAGGTGTTTTTCTTCACAAAAGTTAACTAGACTAAATACAATTTGAATCCAAATATTTGCAATGAGCATCAACATCAAATTACACCAGATTTATCTATAACACTCTGAGAGTTCTTAAACAGAAATCAAGATTTTTTCAAACACACATCATCACCTCATATTTGATGCAACATTTGAAGTTGCTACAACCACCACCATCTTTCTTCTTTCATTGATCTTCAATCTTGCTGACCTTGGTTTTGTCACTCCTTTTGATGACCTATTTATTCACAATACATAAAAAAAAGTTCAATATTTTACGAAAAAAACAAAGGAAAAAAGTCTAAAATTGGACATTTTGGAACTAAATCCCCTGCATGCATACAGGGACAATAGGACACAAGGAAAAAAGTCTTAAGAGGTATTTTAGGTATTTAAATCATTAGTCAAGGACTTAATTTGAAACTTTATATCAAGTCAAACGTATATCAGACCTACTCTTTCGGGTGTGTTATCTCCATCCCATCGTCTTGATGGAAAGGCAGTAGTGACTGTGCAGCAAAAAACATGAGTCACACTCTATGAATCAAAACATATAATCAAGGTTATAAAAATTAATGATTAGCAAAAATAACATATCCTTTCTAATAAATGAAAGTTTTTTTTGCCACTTGTCACATTCTCATTCAATTTGTCAAATGTCATTTTGTGGTTATTTTGAATTATTTTTTTTCCACATGTCATTTTATGACTTTTTCTATTTTATTAAATCCTTTCTAATAAATGAAAGTTTTTTTTGCCACTTGTCACATTCTCATTCAATTTGTCAAATGTCATTTTGTGGTTATTTTGAATTATTTTTTTTCCACATGTCATTTTATGACTTTTTCTATTTTATTAAATTCCGTATAATATTTTAATGTAATAATTGCAATAAATGTAGTAATAAATGAATATCAATTTCATTAATGAACTTACTTTTTAATTTTAAAATTCCTAAAATTAAAGCTTATTAATTTCTTTTATATATTTAAATTATTTTTTTAATTTATAAGATAAAAAACATTTCAATTATAATAATTCATTATTTTTTTCTTATTTTCTTATAAATTATACGTTCTCAAATATTTTGACTTTTATATTTAACTTTTTTTTTAAAAAAAAAATTAACCCATGTAATATATGGATCTCACAACTAGCTTGTAAAAAAAAGGAGTATGAAGTATAAATTAAACCTCAAACATTAATGGTTCAAGAATCAAGATCCCTTGCATTTCATGTCACCTTTCATCACCTACCAAAATCCCATTTTTAATTAAAAAAAATTCATATTCTGAATTGGTTTCACTAATGAGAAAGGAAGAAAGTTAAAATAAAAACTATTATCACAATTCATTTATTAAAAAACGATAAACAAAATATACCTGCAATTTCCCCTCTTGATGATCTCCAAATAGAGTTTTTGCTTTCTCTAGATCTTGGAGTAACATACGCGATCTAACATTCCGATTTAGCATCGACGCCACTACTAATTGTCCTGTAGAGAACACCAACATATTAGGGGACAAATTGTAAGATTTAGAATGATCAATCAGAGATCATCAGACAAGAAACTCCAATTCAACCCTAAGTTTGAATCGAGGCAACCAAACATGTGCCAAATGGGCAATATTAATATATCATTACATTGAAAAACCGATGCTATGTACAAGAAGACCAGGTTAACGGAATCGAACCTACCCATCCGGTGCCTACGGTGACAAGAACGAGCTTATTAGACGAAGTGAGAGGTGAAGGAGCTTCGGTCGGGTTTTGAATTGTTTCGTGTTTCAGGGAATTGCTAC